GTGTTTTTCCCACCTCCATCCCGCGCCTTGCCCCCCGCAGACTTGTTAGTTTTTAACGGCCGTTAGCCTCTTCCTTTCACCCGCCGAGGAGTCCCTGCATCTTCCAGTCCGATACCAAATGTAGACTAAGGAAAGGTCCCCTCTGCGGCACACCTGGTCTGTCACCTGTCTTTGGTGGTCGCACACAAGCAGACAGATGCCCACAACAGCAGGACAGGTGCCGTCGTATCTAAGGAGAGTCACCGCAGCTTAAAGGTCTACCCTCACCTTCCCTGCCCCCGCGGGAGCCCATGGCTTAGGGGTCAGCGGAAAGATGGGGCCACCTTGCTCGGTCAGGCAGCCCTTCTCTTCCTGCTTAGGAGCCCCTCATGGCTCCGTGTCCCATGCCCCTGTGGGGACAGGACAGTCCCTTGGAGCTTCACATAGTGAAAGGTTGGGCCCTTAGTAGTATCAGAAGCCACCGAGAAGTCCAGAAACGGACTGACTTAGCGTGGGCAGCCAGCTTCGGAGAAGAGAGACACAGAGCAGGGCAGGCGGCTCCGCAGACACCTGGAGGGGAAGGACGTTGCTCCCTGTCCCTCACGGATGTGCGTCTGTGCCCCAGGTGAGAGCGACGCCCTGCACTTCACCTCTACCACGACGTGGAAGAACCGCATCATCATCACGTGGCACCGGTACCGGCCGCCAGACTACAGGGACCTCATCAGCTTCACCGTCTACTACAAGGAAGCGTGAGTGTTGCGTGGTGACGGCAGGGCTCTGGGTGGCCCTCCATGCTTCGTCCTCAGCGCGGCCCCTGCTGTCACATGATCCCCGTCACTGCCGGTGACAGCTGCAGATGGGAAAGTGTTAGCGTCGTCGGTGGGTAGAGGAGTTGGAATAAAATAAATTCAAAGGGTCAAGCTTGATCTTTAGAGACTGAGGTCAATCAACTATAAATTGGATGGAGGGCGTGGTTGACATATCAGGTCAACCCTGCTGCCCACTGACCTTGCAGCAATGCCTCGGGGGCCCTGGGCGTCCCCCTCCCTGTGGGCCCCTCCCAGGTGTGGGCTTCTGCTCCAGGTCGTGAGCCCTCCACGTGAGGGAAGGAGAATGGGAAGCAAAGGGCCTCAGGCCTTTCGTGATTTCTCCCAAGGTCCCCTGGGGCTCACCTTGCGCCCTCAGGTGGCATTTGCCAGCCTAAGTGGCCGGGACTGACTACCCCAGGGGGCAGCTGTCACGCTTCTCCCCAGTCTGCTCCGTCCCTTCCTCACCGAGGTCCCTCAGGTCTGGGCTTCCCCAGAGCTGGAACCAGGGCCCCAGAAAGGGTCCTTGCAATGAAAAAAGCGGGGCCCAGGAAGATCAGGGCTCCTGTACAGGGGGGTCCCTCATGGCCCCCCATCACGGTATGTCGCGTCTGCTTCAGAAGCCCGTGGCCAGCAGCTGTCCAGCCCAGTCGTCTGCTGGGGGTTCCGCCCACCCCGCAGCCACAAATACTCTATTCCCTTCGCTAGTCAGCTGGTAATTTCACCAAAGAGTTGATGCTAGTTTTTGACACAACGTGGAAACGAAATATTTGAATATCGTAAGATACTTAAGTAATCAAAATCGCTTGGGAACAAATTAGATTTTGGAAGCTATATTTTAGAAGCTGTTTTTCTGTAGCGGAGTCATTTGTCTCCAAAAGTTATCCTTTACCGATAGCCGATGTTTGCATGAAATGACTAGGCTGGTTCTTTTCTTAACGTTAAAAAAAATCGCCACAATCAAAGAGAGAAAAATAGTATTTGCAGGTATTACTAAGGGAGCAGCATCTTCATTCCCAATACCCACAGAACTCACTCTTCCTGAGGCAGAGTGTCCCATTCTACAGGGCAGACGTAACCGTGGTGACCCCTGGAGTCCAGTCCCTTAATTTTATTCTGCCATAAAAATCGAATCGATGGTTGTCTTTAGAATCCCCATCACAGAAAAACGTGACGAGGCCCCCGGGAAGAACTTCCGAGGGCGGGGAACTCAGAGCCCTCATAGCTTTACCCGTTGCCTTTCAGACCCTTTAAAAACGTAACGGAATATGACGGGCAGGACGCCTGCGGCTCCAACAGCTGGAACATGGTGGACGTGGACCTCCCTTCCAATAAGGACATCGAGCCCGGCATCCTACTGCACGGGCTGAAGCCCTGGACGCAGTACGCCGTGTACGTCAAGGCCGTGACCCTGACCATGGTGGAGAATGACCACATCCGCGGAGCCAAGAGCGAAATCTTGTACATCCGCACCAACGCCTCAGGTAGCCACGCGCCACGCTCCCGCCCCGTGTCGGCCGTCGTCATGGCCTCGCTCGACTTCAGGGCCTTGTGTGGCCTGTTTCTCCAAATTCGCTCTCTCTGCTTCTCTCTCTCTCTCTAAATCTCTCTCTCTCTGGCTCTCGCTCTCGCTCTCGCTCTCTCTGTTTCTCTCTCTCTCTCTCTAAATCTCTGTTTCTCTCTCTCTCTCTCTCCCCCTTCCTCCCTCCTCCGTCTCTCTCTCTTTCTGCTTGCCTTTAGCATAATAAAGTGACCTTTAATACTTTGAGATCCAAATTCTATCTTGTTAATCATAAAGGTTATGACCCTTCTTTCTTTCCTTTTTTTGCCAAGTATTAGTACTTTTCCTTCCTTCCTTCCTCCCTTCCCTTCCCTTCCCTTCCTTTCCCTTCCCTTCCCTTCCCTCCCTTCCCTTCCCACTTATTCCTATCCCCCCCCCTTCCTCCCTCCCTCTGTCTCTCTCTCTCTCTCTGCTTCTCTCTCTCTCTCAATCTCTGTTTCTCTCTCTCTCTCTCTCTCTCTCTCTCTCGCTCTCTCTTTCCCCCTTCCTCCCTCCCTCCATCTCTCTCTCTCTCTCCCTCACCCACCTTTTTGACTCCCCGCTTTTCATTTCGGCTTCTCGCCACTCGGTATCACAAATTCACAATCGCGGATGTAGGGTCCGCTTTGCCGCCTGCTGGAGTTAACCGACGTAGAGAATGGCAGTCGGAACAACGGAAAAAGCCGGCGTTTGAATCGGCCGTGCGTTCGAAGCCACCCGTTCCCGCCCCGCAAGCTTTGTCCACGTGCGGCTCCGCGATGTTTGTTTTCACAGAGGTCACCTGAGAACAGAGATCGCGCGGGGAAAGGCTGGCGTTTGACGTGAAGACCGTTCGGACGCAAGGCTCGGTTTTCTTGGGGCGTCTCCACGTCGCCTGCTCTCTGCCCATCCGGGCCAAACTCTCGGCCTCCGGTTGGTCCGCGCCGAGTACCGGGCGGCGTGCGTCTCGGGTCCGCTCCGTTGTCTGACACGGCCCCTTTCTCCCTGTTCCAGTTCCTTCCATCCCCCTGGACGTCCTGTCCGCGTCCAATTCCTCTTCCCAGCTGATCGTGAAGTGGAACCCGCCCTCTCTGCCCAACGGCAACCTGAGCTACTACATCGTGAGGTGGCAGCGCCAGCCTCAGGACAGCTACCTGTACCGGCACAATTACTGCTCCAAAGGTAGGAAGGTGGCCGGGTGGGGGGCACCTGTGCCAGCGCGACGCCGGCGTCCGAGCGCGCCCAGCCCCGCGGGACGCCCTTCGTGGGAGAAGCAGCCCCGTTCCTGACGAAAGGCGCCGGTGGCCCTTTGTCCTCGCTCGTGAGTAACGGGGCACTGTCGCTGGCCTCTCTTTCCCGAGCAGACAAAATCCCCATCAGGAAGTATGCCGATGGCACCTTCGACATCGAGGAGGTGACAGAGAACCCCAAGACGGAGGTGTGCGGTGGGGAGAAGGGGCCTTGCTGCGCGTGCCCCAAAACCGAAGCCGAGAAGCAGGCGGAGAAGGAGGAGGCCGAGTACCGCAAAGTCTTCGAGAACTTCCTGCACAATTCCATCTTCGTGCCCAGGTACGTGCCCCTGTCGTTTGAAAGTGTCTCCGGGCTGGTGCCCGCTTGGGCCGGTTCTGCTCCTCTGTGCCCCCTGGGAACTCGTGTGTCCACAGCGTCATGGCAGAAGCGAGCAGCCTCGGGGGGAGCAGCTGAGAAGGTAGCAGTTTGGGGTTCCGTGGGCGTCCATCGCCCTGAGGCAAGAGCCCTCGGGGTTTGTGCTCTTGGGGGCCGTGGATGTGATAG